TTCACATGAAAATTACTCTGAATTAAAAACACTGATCATTTATTGAACAGGATGGAATCATTTCAGATTTAAAGAACTTTCAGAAGTTTGAATTCTGAACATCATCTTTGTTTGACACTGTAAGTAAGGGAGTTCCAATATGGCGGCGGTGACTTCACAGCACCATGTAATACCAACAGCCAATCAGATCCAGTTATAATATAAAAATCAGACCTTTGAAGCCAGACAACAACAAGAAAACAAAATAATCCCAAAATACCGGAAGATGGTTCTCAGGTGCGGCCATATTTGTTTTATTATCTGCTCACATTAATTGTTTCTAAGCTCTACATGTTTTGTCATGTCAGGACGCTCTCCGGCTAACAGTAGAACCCACTGGGTTTTCAAACAGGAAGTGAACAGGTGTCTTTCAGCTCCACCTGGCTATCAGGTTCTGACTGCTTCCGTCGTCTAACTGCCCTGTCTTGGTTGTCCAGGAAGACGTGGGTCCGGCCGGTCCTGGTGTCCATGTGGTTTTAGGGAACGAAGCCTGTGATGTGGACTCTATGGTGTCGGCCCTCGCCTTCGCCTACTTCCTGTTCAGGGTGAGATGCTGCCCAATCAGCCGCCAGCTCTCTTCGGAGCCCCATGTTTAGGTCTCTGTGTGTGTCAGACCGCAGGTGGCGACCCGCCGGTTCTGCCCCTGCTCAACATCCGACAGTCGGAACTGGTGCTGCGATCAGACAACCTGTTCCTGCTGCGGCGGACGGGTCTGTCTCCAGACCTGCTGCTGTTCAGGGACCAGCTGGACCTCAGAGCTCTGCACACAGCAGGCCGCCTCCGGCTGACCCTGGTGGACCACAACGTCCTGCCGAGGTGAGACACCAACCTCACACAGCTGCCGGGTAATCTGTAGAAAGGCCTTAGTTTACCTGAAAACGTCTGAGTGCTGACATTTCACAACACGTGTACTCGTGCGTTCTCGTGTGCTCGGGAAACCTCATCATCCTCAGCCCTAGTACTGTTCCAATTCACAAGAACAAAAATAAAGAGAACGGACAAAGCCCCAGGATGTTGTTCTGGCCCCTCCCTCTTTACCCAGCATGCATCAGAGCAGACTTATCCGTTCTTGAGACTGACAGCTGTCCCAGCATGCACTGCAGCAGCAGCAGCTTCCAGGTTAGCGCTCACAGAGCTCAGTGTTAAGTTAAATGTTCTCTTTTCTGTTGCTGTTGTTCAATAAAAGTACGTTTTAGGATCATTTGAGCCAAGAGTATTATACCTTAAGCCTCGCTATAAGGCCCATTTCCTGATTTAGTGCATGATTAAAAAAAATAAAAGTTCTGATGTTGAGAGACCACAGCATCCAGCAGAGCTCCAAGGCTAACCGCAGTGTCACTACCCGATCCGTCCCGGAAGCACAACGCATTTTACTCATGGATCATCAGCTCAATTGCGCTTGCAGATAAACATCCGGGTCGCCCTCTATTTTATTTTCTTAAAAAGACCTAAATGAAGTTTTTCCCTCCCCAAAAATAGTAATCGTACTAAACTATAATGTGCTGAAAGTTAATCATGTTTCTACTGAGAAAATAAATGCCTTAAAATCCTTTCTGTTTTATTACTCATCTGTTCCCGATCTGCACCGGAAATGTAACGCTACTTCCAGTGGCTAACTGTTTTCGCTTTGGATTTAAACATAAATCTAGTCTTTTTGAGCTTTATGGTATATAGTATATATTTACCTTATTGTATAAAGTGCGTAAGCTAAAGAAAGAAACAACTAGAATGCAGATAAACTCTTATTTTGCACT